TAAATTGTTTTGTTTTATTATCATCCTTCAATTGATACAGATGTGTTTTAAAATGCTCTTTTGTAGGTATATTCCACAGCTAATTAACATTAAACAGGCTGTGGCAAATTGGTGGACTCTCTAAAAGGAGTCAGCAGAGGCTTAGTGAGAGGGTGGGATATATGAGTTCTGCCTCCTTTCCTCTCTAAGATCCTACAAGTCAATGAAAAAGTGGACAATTACATATTAAAGCAAAACTTTTCAAAAATTTTCTTAAGTATTCTTAAGGCGATAGCCACTTAATTCCTTTTATTTGAAGCCTTACTTCATTGTTCACTACAATCTTATTTGTGTTTGTTAGACTATGATCCCCCAACTCTCTATTACAGTGATTATCACTTTGACTGGCCATTATATAAGAAGAACAATTAGGCTGACACGGTCTCTGCCATCTTCAGATGACAAATGATATGGACAGTCATAAAGAGAGTACAGCGAGAGCCGGATATGAGCAATGAATAACAGAGAAGAAAGCAAAAAGATTTATGTGGTAAGAAGGTCAAGGTTTCAGGTATGTCAAATAGAAGCGGGGAACAAATGCAGAGCCTGGGAAAAATCCACCCTGTATCAGTTCAAACAAGGAGAAATAGGCTCCCTGCTCCAGTTAACTTCTGCAGCATTTCTAAAAGTAGTGGGCTTGAGAAATACATGTTATTAAGTGTTGTCCAAACTAATTTTAAGGCATAATGACCCTATATAACAGAGTAGAATCATTCCATTAGGTTTCCTAGGTGCAGCCTTTCAGAAAGGAGTCCTGCTGCCACAGAAGTCAGGTGTTTGCATTGTAACCAGAGTCTGGATCCACCAAGTCACTCTACAGGAGAAAGACATGGCAGCCTACTTTTACAAAGACACAGTCATAGGAGCCCTATGAATTTCTACTCTGTCCTATGGGGTCAAAATGAGTTGGGATGTACTCAAAGGCTTTTAATCTTTACAGGTACAGATAGTCAAATCTTTCTCCCACGGAGCAACTTGGTGGATTTAAACCGCCAATCTTTCGCTTAGAAGCCAAGCCCTGAACCATTGGAATAAATTCTAGTAATCAAACATTTGGTTGAGGGGACATTTCCCTTGGGTTAAGTGACAATTTCCTCCAGGTCTGCTCCTTCATGATAGCTCATCACCCTCTGTACTCCACCAATTTAGAGGGGGGAACTAAGATCTGAAAAGAGGAAATGAGAGGAAGGGGGTATTTGTGATCTGTGTGGACGTGGAATCGGGGAGAATCCTCGAGTCCCCAAGTCATTGTGAAGTAAACAGCCAAGTCTCGGCTCTTCTGGCTGAGCTGTAACTTTGGGTAAAGTTACTTCTGCTTTGGACTCACTTAACCTTTAATCTGGGGATCCCCAATCATGTTACTGACATTAATTCCTCCATCCTCACAACAACCATGTATGGGGTGGGGAAAAATAAACCAAAACACAAGAGCTTATGAGTTATTTTCATTCAATGTGGTAAGATTCAAAAATAACTATTTACTCAAAGACTATTTTTTAGACTCTTAATATTTTCTCTACACTTCACAGAAAAGGAAACTGAGTTAGAAAGAGTAGAAACTAGTCAATTTCACATAACCTTTTAATTGTTGGCTTCAATATAAATAATACTTTAATGTTATAGCCCTTTTCTTCCTTGATGTTCTAATCATGATTATACTAAGGATGGGGAAACTGAAGCACATGGTGATTAAAATGTATCACTTCAAGAAATACCCATTAAATAGCCTAGATGAGAAACTCAAGAATCCTAATTCTCAGGAATAATTCTCTTTTCATCAGATTCTTACCCAAGCTTGAAACATTAAGTCCACTCATTTTGTGAAATCAGATGATAACTGCTAGAAAGCTTGAGTTCTTGATATCAAGAACAGCATGAGAGTATTGAAACAAGGGTAATCATGATCCTTCGCCTTTGTAAAGGATTTCATAGATTACAAGCTCACCACAGCCACTATTACAGCTTGTCCTCATCAAGGACATCAATAGTGCCCCCCTCCCCTCCCTTTTACAGAAGAGGAGGCTGTAACTGAGTAATGTTTAGAAGTTTATCAGAAAGCACACAGTTAGCAAATTCAAGGGCAGAATTAAGATTGAAACTCAGGTTTTTCAATTCAAGCTCAGTTGGAACAAGCTATGAGGAAAGTTTGAGGCTTCCTTCCTTTTGTGAGGAGACTGAGGGAAGAAGTGGCTGGCACATATGTTAGCAGAGGAGGAAATTATCATCATTAGGCGTTTCAAATAATGACACAGAACTGCTCTGTGCACTGTGGGGACCTGCCGACTGCAGCTATAACCTCTAAGGGCTTGAAATCGAAGACAAACACACTAAGAAGAACAAATGTGTTCTTCCTAGTATAGGGCATACAGATGGTAGAAAAAGAACAATAAAAAATCTACTATAAGAGGAAAGAGGAAGCATTTATATCATATACATGAGCAGGTAAATTCTGGGGTGTGGAGACTATGCTTAAATAGCAGTAAAGAAGCCACTAAGAAATACACACACGCACATGTAGCACACACACAAGCATATAATGCAAGAAGGATTTTTTTTAAAGATTATTTTAGGAGTTCTTTTCTCTTCAGTTTAAGAATCAGCAGAGTAGCTGTGTTCCAGAGGGCAGTGAAGTTCAGAGTGTGAGACTGAGTAACTAATCCTAGGCATCTGAGTGGTGAGAGTAGGCAACATCAATGGACTACGAGAGGTTTTGAGCAAGTAGAAATCCAAGAGAGACTGATCACCGTCTATCTTGGCTTCTCGGTTGTATCTAAGTGTTTCCACCTCCACGTTTTAAGAAAGCTTAGTTCTCCCTGATTTCAGGAACAAGACAAATCTTCAGGTTGTGCAAGGCTGTTTTTAGTGGGTGGAGAAGGTAGAGTGCTGTGGTGAAAGATAGTGGATAGGGACCTTGGGTACACTGGGCAAGAAGTCCCTAGTCATCCCAATCTCCCCAGCTCCTATTACCACAGGGGCAGTTCCCAGTGTACAAGTCATTTATCGGGACCTACTGATTGTGAAGGAATTTTCAGTCTGATTCCTCAAACTCAAACTTAGTTGTCATTCTAGCCAGTGAAAAACTCTGTTGAATTCTGCTAAGATCTCAATATTTTTCAATATATATCAATTCAAACTGTAGCCAAGTAGAGAGAGAGAAGAGAGTTCTATTTATCACTTCTAATTGTGTTTACTCAAGCCATCCTTTGTGACTCTAATTAGTAGAGAAGTTAACAGCCAAGAACCACCAAGAGGCTAGAGTGAACAAGAATAAGCAGGAAAAATCCCTATGCTCTGAGTTCTAGCCCTTTGTAGAACACAGAATCCTTGAAGGTAATGGTGCTGCTTCTAACCGGACAATTTTACTTTCAGAAGTTGCTCATTCTTGGACATTCTGGTTTCTGAGTTGACACAGTTACTAAGATTATGAATACTGTTTTGCCAACATTTATTTACAATCTTATGAGCTGACACTAATATTTACAACCTTATGAATAGATACTAATAAGATAAAAGTATTGCATTCATATTACAAATGAACTGGCAATGGGGTTAAGGAATTTAACCAAGATCACACCATTAGTAGATGAAAACAACAGGACACACAACTACAATTTTCACCCTTTAACTGAACCCCCTAATTTTTAAAAAAATAATAGTCAGATATCAGTCATTTACATGTAAGATACTGTTTTGGATGCTATGCCAAAAAACACAAAAAGTGCAGTATTGACTATCTCTACACTCAAAGAGTCTGTGGTATAGTTGCATATGTTGGTGGTGCTCTATTGCAACTGAATTTTGCTTAACTTAGTCACACTATAGTAGGATTTTTTTACCTAGAAGACCTTACATCACCATGCCATTATTTAAAAAAAAAAAAAAACCCAAACAAACAGGTGAGGCATCTCTAGGCCCAGAGGGGACCAACTTACTATTTCTTCACCAGAGAATGGTTAGTAGCATATGCAAAATGGCAAATCTTACTTTTCTAACAAGCAAGGGTGAGGGTTCCACGTTCTCTGAGACAGACAAGATGAAATGGTTGTTATTAGAGCAAAGGTGCAAAATGAAGCGAGCTCGTTTATCTCAAGTTAACTCTTCACTCTCATCTGTTCTCTGCACCTATCCCCCACTTATTATTTCTTTAACCTTTGCTGCTGTCTACTCCTCCCTTCTGCCTCTGAGGTAAAACTAAGCCTGAAGACTTCTCAGAAATTCGAGAGTGAGAAGGAAAACAAAATTGAACTGCTTGAGATTTTTTTTTTCTTCACCATTACTGAGCCTACAAGGAAGAAAACCGGTGTTTTAGACAAGACTTCTAATTCCTTGAAGAGGAACAAAAGGTTAGAAAAGACATGTCTGAATAACTTAGGGGAAAGATTTGCAAGACATTGGCGTGATTAAGGCTTACGTGCAGGGATGGAGAAAATGTAGTCACATTCTCCTACTTTCACAGGCGGAAAATGTCAAAGCAAAGCGCTCCAGAGAAAACCTAACTGCGTTTGAAAGTATATGAAAGGGCTCTTTCTTAAGAGTGTAGGGAACTCCCTCTGAAGTCGGCCGGTCCTCTCCTCCCACTGAAGGCTCCCCTCCCTGGGAGGTCGCGGAACCCTTTACTGGAGAAAGAGGGCTGCTCTATGTGGTCTGGGTGTGACTTTATCCCGGCGCCAGGACTTTTCCTGTAAGGCACACGGGACCCCTTCACGAGACAAATGGGGCTCCCGGCGCTGCTCAGCAACCCGCTCTGCATAGCAAGGAGCCGCCGCACGAAGCCGCACCGCCCGCGCCTCCGCCGCGCGGGGCCGGCGAGGAAAGCACGGGGGCCGAGCACAGCCCAGCGCCCCCTCGCACTGACTCACTCCTCCAGCTCCTACCGACCCCCATTCAGAGGCTAAGCCCGACCACCCGCTGCGAGCGTGCGTAACGTGCCCCCGCAGCGTGACGCACGCGCCGCGCCGGGCGGATAAGTGGGGTGCGCGGCGGGAGGAGTGCGAGCAGAGGGCGGAGTGCGGGCGGAAGTTGGCGTCTGCGGACAGGAGAAAGGAAAAGGAGACGAGGCTGGGTGCGGCGCAACGCTGCGAGACTGGGAGACCCCACCCGCGGGAAGACACCGCCTCCTCCCCCGCCCTCTGTGCTGAGGATGGAAGTGACGAAAGCATCCGAGGAGGTCACTTCCTGCTGGGGTGGATGAGGAGGAGCCGGAGACGCCGCGGAGGAGACCGGACTGAAGACGGACCGTGCCGGGGAGAGGTGAGTACTGGCCCCGCCGACGCCGGGCATTTGCGGCTGACCCCCGTGGACCGCGGCGGCGCCGGCATCGCTGGTTTCTGGGCCGCCTGCAGGCCACGTCCTTAGACTGCCGGGCCTCACACAGGGCGGGGGGCGGGGGAGTGAAGGGGGGCTCCTATCGGAGGGGCGACGGGGACCTGGGGCTGCGTCCGTGCGGTGGCTCAGAGGACCGCCGTGGCCACACACTGAGGGCGGCCTGGCCGGGAGGCGAGAGATGGTGAGGAGGCTGTGGGGCGGCCAGGAGCTGGGAGCCGGAGCTGCAGCCGGAGGACCGCAGCTCCAGAATGTGCGTGTTTCACTGTTCGGGGGAGGGTTGCGATCTGAGTGAGGGGCCTGGAGTTTGCAGAGTTAAGACGAGTGACCCTGCTCGGAACGGCGCCTCTGAGCTGCTTGGTCGGGAGGGAAACTGGGGAGCTGAAGAAACTGGGGTATGGAGAGAGGGATTTCCCGGCAGGTAATCGTTGGAGTGGGGTTTGGACCCCAGAGTGGTTGGAGAGGCAGGGTGAGAGCCTCAGGGTCAAAGCCTGGAGAGCCAACAGAACCGTCTAGAGCAGTTTCCTGGATCAGTGGGGAAATGAGTGTTTCTCCTTCATTGTCACAGAGATGCGATCAGCCCGGGTGGGGGAAGGAAGCGCCTGCTTTAACTCTGGTCAGCCTTGTTGTTGTATATCCGAGGTGTGTTTGTGTGTGTGTGTGTGTGCGCGCGCGCGTGTGTGTGTTTCTTTCATTCCTTTGGGATGCTTATCTCGTCCTCACTTCCCCCTATGGTTTACAGACTGAAACTAGTCAGTCTCCTTAACGTGTATGGTAAGGAAGAAACTGCAGTAGATCAAAGGGATTCTAGGGTTAGAAGGAATTTTCAAGATTAGGGCTTTTCCACCACCTTACCCTAGGGCAACTTAGGCATCTACATTCATTGCCTCCAGACAACGTGCTTGTGAAACGATAAGGACAGATCTGCCCATTCCTGTCTCTGTTCCCCCACCACCACCACCTTGCAGTTTCACCCCTTTCTCCTTTTTACTAAAGAATTAACTGACAAAGTTCTTTGTTGCTGGGGGTGGGGAGATGTAAGTTTCTTCAACTATAAATCTGGATAGAGTAAATTCGGATTGTGTCACGACTCAAGTCTCTGAAACGCTTGCTTTTTAAAAATTTTCCTTATTGTTAAAGAGGGGAAATGTTTTTTCTGAGCATGTGTGTTTCTAGTATAGAGTGCCTATACATACGGTATGTTTACTTCCTGTATCCCAGGGTATTTTTTCAAGGGAGAGGGGGCAGTTTCTGACTAGGAGGAGTTTCTCTTCTCTCCTAATTCTGTAAAAGAAATAAAAATTAAATGTTCATTTTTGAGTGGGACTCTGCCAGATTTTTATACACACACACCCCATCCACCCACCCGTTTTAAAACTAGTACATCTGAGTGAATTCAAGCTTGTGTATTTTGGCATCTGGGCCTGTCTAGTAATAGAAGACAAACTGTTTGACTTGTTTTGGCTGCCTTTTTGGACCTGTTTCACTGTAGCCTTCCTTTTTTACATTTGAAGGGCTGGTCAGGAGGAAGAAAGCAAATATTAAAGACAGATATTAAAGACAGTGTTTGCAGTTTGTGGTTTAAAGTCAGGTGAGAGATAATTATGACTTTTGAAGCTGATGACCTGAGGACCATCATTTAATGATTTGAGGATTAGCAGTTTGGAGGTGACATGTTTGAAAGAGAGAAGGTTGCATAAGGAAGGAAAGATAGAGAAAAAGAAGGTCAGGAAAAGGCTGTACCAGAAAACCTTGGGAGGAAAATAAATAGCATCTTAAAGTAATTGTTATGACTTGTGTCTTTCAGCAGGAGGGTGAAAATGAAAGCAGGCTGTAGCATCGTGGAAAAGCCAGAAGGAGGTGGAGGTGAGCAGAAGTTAATCTCATCATCTCTGATATGCCATGAATATTCCTCTGTGGTTCCTCTTTTCTCCCCTTGGGCTCTGTTCCCAAGTGCCTAGCCATGATTGACAACCTCTTTACTGAGTAGATCCAGTTAGGATGGTTGTTGGCTTCTTTCCTGTGGATGTATGTATATTTAATCTGTCTGGTCGCCACACCCTTATTGGAAATTTTAGACTTTCTTCCCTGTAAGAGCTACAGTTTTAATCTTTGGGGTAATACATGCTATTGTTATTATATACTGACATGTTGGAACCAACTTGTAGCTGACTCTCTAGCAGGTTTTCAGAGGCAGTAAATTGAATGGGAAGAGATAACCCATCTTTCTTCCAAAAAGCAGCTGGTGGATTCAAACCGCATACCTTTTGGGTTGGCAGTTCAACTCCTTACCCTAAGCCAGTAGAGTTCCCTGTATCAGCTTTATTCTCCTGAAACATTCATTTCCCTTTGCTGTCTGTTCCTTTGGAACAGTAACGGCTCCATAGAAAGTAGGTATAGGATTGAAAAAGTAATGCATGAGAGGATAAAAGATTGGATAGGAAACCTTGTGGTGCTACTGCTCAACTGTATCAAATTCAACAGTTGTCAAAATTTTGAATAGGTAACTTCACTATGCTTTCCTTTGCCCAGTTGTGGTTACTTTTCACTGACTGAAAGACTTGTTTATGGCATGTTTGTAAAGCACTTTAGGTGGAATATCAAGGCAGGATACTGGTATGTATGTACTTAGCTCCTATCATGCCCTTTTCATATTAAAGGATATCAGTTTCCTGATTGGGCATACAAAACGGAATCGTCCCCAGGCTCCCGGCAGATCCAGCTGTGGCACTTCATCCTTGAGCTGCTACAGAAGGAGGAGTTCCGCCATGTCATTGCCTGGCAGCAGGGCGAGTACGGGGAGTTTGTCATCAAGGACCCAGATGAGGTGGCCCGCCTCTGGGGCCGCAGGAAGTGCAAACCACAGATGAATTATGACAAGCTGAGCCGGGCCCTCAGGTAAGGGAAAGAATTCCCAAATTCCTGATCTTAACAGATTGGAAGGAGACAGATCAGTTGGTGAATGTTAGATAAAAAATGTACTGGGTGATAAGAAACAGACTATCTTAGTGAATGTGTAGTTTTCAAGTGGGAGTAGGAGAACAGTTGAATCTGAGTAGCACAGGCACAGGAGAAGAAAAGGCATATCTTTGGTTATATGTAGGAGGGATTTCCAACATGGTTGGCACTGGATCCTGACAGACAGCTGATTCTGCTCTGTAGTGGGCGAGAATGTATGGTGAAACATTAGAGCTCATTTATAGTCCAAAGGATTAGTTTAGACCTCCGTGTTAGAATTTCTCTTCTTTAGGCTCCTCTGGAAGAAACAGAAAAAGAGTGAAGAAAGCAAAGAGTAGGGCTCAAGCAAATCTCAGTTAATGACAATGACCTGGTTATTCAGAAACTTAAAACTTTACCTGTAAAGTCAGTCATTAGTCCATAGATTGCTTGATTGTCATCCTACAATGTGTGTAGCAATTGAGCACTAAGCTTTCTCAGTTTCTCTTGTGTCCCCTCACCCCATCAGTCTCTTAAGTTTTTTTAAACTATTAGCCCCCTGAAAACCAGAAAGCAGTTGGTGACTTGCACTTCTAAATAGATAAGAGCCTCTTGACTTTGATATACCCCTGACTTTCTTCAGTCTTAGTGACCCTGAATGTAAAATCTGTGCAGCAGGTTTGCTGGAGTTTTTTTACATCACTTTAAGTCTTTGAAGTGAAACAAGCCAAGCTGGCTGTTGCTTTCCAGATCAGGGTATACTGTTTGACCTGCCATTATAAAATGCTTCTACATTCCTTTATCTAGGTAGAGCTTAGGTCCCAAGGCCAACCACATAGGTCACCCAAAAACTTGTCTACCTCTATTTGAGGAAGGCAGGAGAGAGAAACTTGGCAGCAAGGGGGATATATACTATACAGTGGGAACAGAAAGGAAATGGGCTTTAGAATTAAAATTATAGTTAGTGAAAAATGGTGATTAGGGCTAGGATAGGTGATCAGATGAGATTGTCTTTGTAAAACTTTAGCCAAATTTAGTTGAAAATTGAATGGAGAAATTGAACTGTTACATATCCTAACCCTAGCCTGAAGGCCAGGCTGTAAAAGAATGATAGTGATTTCTGTAAGTAATACTTAGAGCAGTAATTACTGGTCTTTGTGGTAACCTGTGTGTATAAAAAAAACTGTCAGTTACTGAAAGATACATTAACATGATTTTTTGTTTTATTTTGTCTTGTATTTGTTAGATACTATTACAATAAGAGGATCCTTCATAAAACAAAAGGCAAAAGATTTACTTACAAATTTAACTTCAATAAGCTGGTGATGCCCAACTACCCATTCATCAACATTCGGTCAAGTGGTAAGATGCAAACTGTCTTCATGGGGAATGAACCTTGAGTTAAGGGAAAAAGAGACTGAAAATCTAAATCCAAAAGTCAACGTGTTTTAAGAGGATTTTAGAAATACTATCGACATCTCTTTTGTTCTTGCTCAGGTTTCTCATTCATCTTATAAAAGAGAGTGGTAAACTACCTTACTGAGATAAATTTCTTTATTTAATTTATTTTTTTGGCATATTATTCATAATAATGTCCTAGATATCATTGCATTATTCTCTTTAAATATGGTGCTCCATAAGTCTTTGTTGATCTTGAAGCTTAGAACCAAAAGTTTTAACGCCTCACCCAGTGAGTGTCATACACCAGAGCCTGTTTCTACAAACACTTCCGATTTTCTATGAAACTAGTAACTCTCCCTTATCAAGTGAATTTGATCAAAACCACAGCATCCTTGATCAGAGGAGAGGAGGTTCACATGTTTGCAGTGAAAAACATTGTCTTTGATCTTCACCGACAAGTCCTCTGAGAACAAGGCTCTGGGTTTACTTGACCTCCTCAGTACAGGAGGGCTTCCCCTGTAGGCCTTCTGGGTTACAGCTTTTCATCACAGTTCCTCACATTTTATGTCTGCTTGTCTTGGTGCAGAAAGCAACCTCTTAAAAAGTCTTTTGGTTTAAGAGTTTGCTGTGTAGTTTGTATTTTTGGGGGGGAGTCCCCTGTCTCCCCCCCATGGAAATCATATTCCTACCCAAGAAAATTGATCATAAGTAATTACTAGTTTCTGACCTGTCTGTCAATACTGTTACATTGTGTGTTAAGCAAAGAAAGCCAGTTCTGATTTCTACTGCAATACTATTACTACTCAGAGGAGAATTGGGAAGAAACTTGAAAAATTAGAGCGGAGGTGTGGCTGAGAGAATATAATGCTGAGATCCATTGCAGATAGGTAATTACTACACACAACAAGTTAGGGCAGTTTTAGCTTGACTCTGCTATCATTACAAGTTCCATCTTCTGTAGCCACTCCCTCCTGTCCCTGGGGCATGCATTTAAAAAAAAAAAGTGGTATTGGAATGCATCTCTCTAATTACAACCTGTTTTCTTCCTTGTGCCTGGGGGAGAGGCGTTAGGAAATCAAACCTGTTTTAGCCACTGGACTCTTGTTTCCTCTATTTCTCACTCCTGCTACCTCCCTTTGCACCTGGCAGAGGAATTGATACTGGTGTTCTCCATGGATTTACCAGCAGTTTTCAACAAGTCTTGCTGTTCTATGTAACACACATGGGGATAAAGGGCCTAGCTGGTTACAGTCTTCTGACTTTGACCCATTTTTATCTATTTAGTCTCTTAAGACAACCTGGAATGATGCATTATCAGTCCCTGGGAGTATATGTGGTTTTTAAGGGCAGTGAAATCTGGATCCACACCCTAAAGACTCATTGTGCAAATTCAACAGTGGCCAAAGCATCCTATCCTGCCTGAAGGCAGTTGAGCCAGCATTGATCTTTAACTTAGCTCAAGATTTTAATCAAAAAGTCAAAGGGAAAGCAAAATAATTTACATTTCTTTGGGGCATATTCCTGAGTTGTTTACATCCCAATTGCAGATAATCATAAAGAACTGGATCTATTAGTTTTATAGAGAACTTTTACCTAGATAGGCCAGTTGTTTTAGGTTAACTTTAAGACAAAGGAATAGAATATTTATTAAATTTCTTTGTGTTTTGGAGAGTTACGATTAACCTCCCAACCCCATGAAAGTAAGTCTTGATACCCACATCTTACAAATGATAGAGGATAGCAAGATAAAAGATTAATCACTATGGATTGAAAATAGTTACCCATTGAATAATTTTCCTATTTCACCAATTCCTGAGGTACTAGCTGTTAAAATCTAATTTGTATTAAATAGACAAGGACATCCAGCCAGGGAACTGGAAGAGCCTTTCATTTGTTTAGTAGATAATGTGTTAAGCACTAGAGACCAAAAAAAAGTTACATATTCTTCTAACAAATTGAGATTGAGCAGGAGAGGTTAGAAGACTAACATAGATTAAGGTCCTGAAAACCAGAGGATCATGTTTATGTTGATACAGTTTTTTAAATGAATGTAACAAATGTAACAGATTTTTTTTTCTGATCTGTCTAAATAGTTTAGAAATTTAGAAAGTAAAATGAGTGTTTTCCACTCACTATAATCAGCTTAGGATAGACTACTAACATTTGGATGGTGTTGAAAGCACTTCTTAACAGTATCTCATCTTAGCATTAAAAGTGAAGTATGAAGTATATTACTTATTTATATTTTCTTGTATTTGTGAAGAAACTTTTTGCATAGAGATGACACTTGTGAAAAGGGTTACCTGTCAGGATAAAGCAGTTCAAGGATAGATTGGCTGCTTCTTGCTCTATGCCTCCTCACTCTCTCCTGCCCACCACACTAGGGGTTTTTGCTTAAGAAAAATAATCTTTAAACTTACAAAAAAATTGGGAAAAATAGAACAATAATACACCCTTTTTAGATTCACTAATTGTTAACATTTTGCCACATTGCTTTAACTATTTCTACTTCTGTATACTTTTTAAATCTTTTGAAATTATGTTACGGACATATGGCATTTCACCCTTATGCACTTGAACATACACTACCCAGGAACAAAGACTTTCTTGTTCATAATCACAGTACCATTATCACACCCAAAAAGGTTAATAATTGTTATTTAATATATAGAAATTATGCTTATTTTTTTAGTATTAAAGTGCTATTTCATAAATACTTAGCTTGCTGTGGGCTAATTACCCTTATGATTAAAATTCCTTTAATTGTAATGTGAAGAGTGGTCTTGTTATGTTAGTACCACCTTTTCACAGGTTAGAATAAAGAAGCATAGCTGCTGAATAGTTCTTCAGAGTCCCAAAGTTTACAGTGTTGAACCTGGACTTGGACCTAGACAAAGCCAATGGAGATTTTTTGTTTTGGGGTTAGTTTGTTTTAATTTTACCTGAGGGTTAAGACTCTAATTTGTGACTTATGCAGAAACCATAAGAGAGTACCAAAACAGAGATTCGGACCCAGATTTGCTACTTCTAAAACAGATTTAATAGTAATACCAAGGAGGCTGATTTTCAAAGCAGCAAAACTTCCCCCAAGAAAAATCCAACAAATAAAATGAAAGTAGAGCTGTTACTTAAGGTGAAGGGAACACATTTTTTCCTATACCTCTCCATTCTTTGTTTCTTGTAAATATATTAAGGAATGTATATCTCCTACCTACAGATTTATAGTGTTACCTTAACCTGTATAAAAACTGAAACGTCTTCTAACAAAAAGGGAAAAGATTACATTTAACCAAGCATTTTTCAATTAAGATACAAGACTTTCCCTCCTCCCACCATGTTATACTTACTTACTCTTTCAGAGCACAAAGAAGTGGGTTTTGCTTTTGTAAAATCCTAAAGAATATTTTAAAAAGACTAAAATTGTGGACCCTGTAATAGAAAATACTTAAAATCCATTTGGCTCTATTCAAATCATGTGCAAGATCATCTGTTTTTCTTAATGGTAAGATTTAAATGGGCCTCTGGCTTTAAGTCCTACAGAACAGATTTCTTTGGTATACCAGTTTAGAAAATGCTGCTCTGGCACAGTATTATTCAGTCACATGTGCCTAGAAAGGCAATCTTGCACATACCAGCCAGTACAGAGTCAAATATGTGGATGACTTCGTTACACTAAGAATAGAATTCCTAAACACACCTGACTCTGCACATTGTTTGCTTCCTCTTCTAGATGTCTTTTACTTATTTTGACTTTTCTCATCTTCCCTTTTTCTCTTCTCCCTTTGCTATGCCCTAGAATGTCAGTGATAGAATTCTTCCAAGACCGCTGAGGCCTCACTTGATGTACCTTTCTCTGTCTTCTTTATCAGAAGCACCTTTTGGAAGAGTTGAGAATTTGTGAGCCTCTGAAGTTGATATGCTTACAACAATGTTGACTTCCACTTAGAGCTTCAAATTTTAGCAAACAAATTTGGCCAAGGGAGTAGTTGATCCTGAATTTTCTCCCAATTTATTTAGTGCTTAAAAACAACCACCACCAACAACCAAAAAAATGGAAATTGTTATATGAAATATCTATTTGAAGAAATTGAAAAATATTCTCAATTTCTGTCAAAGCACCAGAAATTATTAAAAACTATTTCATAAAGTCTTAGCAAACATAGCATTTCAGTCTATTTTTATTTAAATACAGTGTTGTTTTTATATATATGTATGAGATCTATATGTACGTGCACACGCGCCCACGTGTGTGTGTAAGATATAAAGTCTTTGAGTGACTTAATGAATTGCTTTTATTTCCAGTTTGTTCCTTTGGTTTTACTTTTTGTTTGTTTTATATTGCAAAACAATTCAATTCAGTATTTGGATTTAGAAAGGAGAAGGCTTTTTTCATTCATTCAGCTAATATTTGTTTAGTGCTTTCAAGTTATTAAATCTTGAACTGCAAGGAATATAGTTGTAAATGAGAGGGTTCCTGCCCTTGTGGAATTTATATTTTAGACTACAGGTAAACAAGTAGGTATGGTATTGTGAAGACAATAAATGACTAAGAGGTTAAATAAGGTAGCCACTAAACTGAGTAGTGGAGACTGAACAGTAGTTACTAGGAAGATAGAAAATTGTGAGATTCATTCTAGCTAACATGTTTGTTTCCTGTTGCTTCTAAACATACTTACTTAAAATAAGTAAAAATAATGAGAGCAAACAGCCACACCTTTAATACAGCCTTTTATGTCTTTTGCACCGTCAACAGGTGTGGTTCCCCAAAGTGCACCACCAGTGCCAACAGCTTCCTCCAGGTTCCATTTCCCTCCTCTGGACACCCATTCACCAACAAGTGATGTGCAGCCTGGACGGTTCTCTGCTAGCTCCCTAACTACGTCTGGCCAAGAGGCTTTGAGTGATGGTACTGAGAGAAAGGCAGAGCTTCCAGAGCTGGAGGATGGCTCAGCCACTGACTGGCGTCGAGGTGTGAATCTCATGTCCTCCCGGAATGCTGTTGGAGGTGGAGGGATTGGTCATCAGAAACGAAAGCCTGACATAATGCTTCCTCTGTTCACTAGACCAGGAATGTACCCTGACCCACATAGCCCCTTTGCTGTCTCTCCAGTTCCTGGCCGTGGAGGTGTCCTTAATGTCCCCATCTCACCAGCCCTCTCTCTGACTCCCACCATCTTCTCCTATAGCCCATCACCAGGCCTGAGCCCCTTCACCAGCAGCAGCTGTTTCTCTTTTAACCCTGAGGAAATGAAACACTACCTTCATTCACAAGCCTGTTCTGTGTTCAACTACCACCTGAGTCCCCGGACTTTTCCCCGTTACCCGGGGCTCATGGTTCCACCCCTACAGTGCCAAATGCATCCTGAGGAGTCAGCCCAGTTTTCTATCAAGTTACAGCCCCCACCAGTTGGGCGGAAGAACCGAGAGCGGGTTGAAAGTAGTGAAGAGTCAGTACCTGTCAGTGCTCCCACCACAGCTCCCACAAGAATTAAGGTGGAACCTGCCTCTGAAAGAGAACCAGAGAGTCTTAGACAGTCTACAGGAGATAAGGAAGAGCACACCCAAGAAGAGGGCACTGTGCTGAGCAGGACCACGGAAGAGGAGAAAGACACCATCTTTGCCCGCCCAGCTGTGCCACCTGTTTGGCCCTCTGTACCCATTAGCACCCCAAGTGAAGAGCCCTTAGAGGTGACTGAAAACAGTGAGGACAGGCCTGGCAAAGAGTCCAGTGCACCTGAGAAGAAAGAAGATGCTCTGATGCCGCCCAAGCTTCGATTGAAGCGGCGCTGGAATGATGACCCAGAGTCCCGAGAGCTAAGTAAGAATAGCAAGTTCCTCTGGAATGGGTCGGGACCCCGGGGCTTGGCAGCAGCAGCCGCCGATGCCTAAAACTGGAAGTGGATTGAAAGCTGTTTATACTATAATCAGATACATACATGTATTTATGTAGCAAGATTTCAGGGGTGGGGCGGGGGGAGGGAGGGAGTTAGTCTGGGTTGATCATTCTAGGGGCATAGACTTGTATTTTTATGTTTTGGGGATGGGAAGGGTTATTTCTGTTGTAAATTAGGTGGGATATGAACACACTTTTTTTTCCTGGTGAGTAGGAGGACATGGGGAGATTATTGAATTAAAAGGAGGAGGAACCTCCATTTCCTATTGAAGCCTACATTTTATGACAAGGAAATTCCTAAAGGGCCAAGATACTTTTTGGTCCCATGATCGTTCAGGTTTCAAACGTCTTTTATATTTATATATAGAAAGCCATTGATGAATTTCTTGTTCCTCACTTTTGCTCTGAGAGACATACATAAAGGGAAAGAGGGCACCATTAGAAGGTTGAGCAGTGAAAGACCATTAATAAGTACTTTGCCTGAAATGATGTTTCTTTATAATTATTTCAGGGGGGGAAATTAAGATAATCTTAGTCATGCTTAGAGAGAAGGAAAGGTTATTTAACTTTTTTTTTCCTTTGTTGTTGGTTGTCATTTTTTTTTCCTTGTAAAAAAAAAAATGTTTTCTGGAAACATGAAATGTGTCGCCAGTTAGAATGGGGCAGGAGGGCCCGGAAGCTGGCTTGTCTCTCAGCTACTATGTATGAGTCTCATGGACTTTTCACCTACTTCACCTATAAAGAAGCCATGAAGAGTTGTAAACTCTAGTTCAGGGAAGAAAGAAGAGGGCAGGAGGAAGTAACCCAATGCCTTTAAAACAAAAACCTTCAAGTTTTCCTTTTCCATGTGAGTTGGGGAGCCAAACATAAGCATAACTGTGAGGAAACTCACTAAGAGGAGTGGCAACATTGTTGAAAATGTCTTTCCATCATGTCTGGTTTTCTTACCATTTTCTTAAGTCAAGCCTTAACTTTGAACACATTTTAACATGATACGGTCTGTCAGCATAAACGTGGTAAAAGGCAAGGAGAGCTTTTCAGATAACCGAGAAATGCTGAGACACTCCTTAGTTTCTAGCTGGTGGTTAGTTGTCCCCTCTTGATGTTATTGGGCTGGAAATCTGAAAGATAGGATTATGAAATTTAAATGGCAGTTGTTATCTAAAAACAAAGAAGGTAGCTAGATGTAAAAGTAGACATTTGTTGAAACGGAAGGGAGAGTGGACAGAAGACAACTATATGGGGGACGGTCAAACATGAATGTAAGAGTTGGTGTCCTACTCTGTTGCCATTCTTGCCATACTCATGTCCCTAAACTATTGTGATCCTCACAATCAATAGGCAGGAATTGTCTCTTCAAGGATAAATCCCTCCCAGAGGTTCAAAGTAGCAAGAAAGTACTGATCCTAAGTGATATAAAAGGGGCCCAGGCTAAGGAGAGATGAAAAAAAAAGAGCAGCAGCCAGCTGGGGGCTTGACGTGTGCTTGCGCCACATTTAGTTGTATGTAAATGTTGACTGTGGCCTTAATTGGCCAAACAGCAGGAAAGGGGATAAAAAGGCTCCTGATCTGATGATGGTAAGGGAAGAGTGACTAGGAATTGGAGAAATTCCTGGCTCTACCTTAATTTAAGTGAACTCTACTGAGTTGTGTTTGAAGGTTATGTTTTAAAGGTGAGGGCACTATTTTGGTTTTAAACTGAACTGCATGCATGAGTGGGGCTAAGGAAAGATTATAAAGCAGGTGAGTGAGTCCTTAGATGGCCTGCATTCATTATGCCAATTTTTGAAGTGTCCTCCCCCATCTTTGACAGATCCCATAAGTGACTTGGCTTTCCTCAGGAAAGAGGGTGGAAGAGTGGTCCCTAGCACCTTAGGCTTTGGTCAGGCTTTCAGGCTGCCTTTGGTCGTTGTATTTTTATTGATTTCTTTCTCTGCACCTTGACTTACCTCTGAATCAGAAAGCAGGCCCAGGCAGGTGGAGGAGAGATCTCTGCTTGGCATTGCCTGATCTAACCAGGGAGGCTCGCTGGCCACCCTCTGTCCCCTACAGGGAAAGGAAGGCCAGCAGGTGTGTGAACTCAGGAATAGATACATGAGGCCTTTAAAATAAGAGGGAGAAAAATTCATGATGCATACCTGTAACCCCATAGAACCCAAGTGCCAGAATTCCTAGATGCTGCTTGTGTTTTGGGAAAAAAAAAAAAAGTCACTGCTTTTACACTTGAGGGGGGGGGGGACCACAAAACCACTCAGAAAATGTTCAACTCCATGAAAAAATGTGTTTTGGCTTTTAAGAACTTATTTGGTGTTTGTTTCCTTTAATTGCCATTCCACCAGTAAACTGTTGGTGGGTTTGCACTGCACACTCTGGGGTAAGGGACAGATCCTCACACCAGGCTGAATTTGTGCTTGCTCAGAAGGCAGACCAGGGAATGAGGTTCTGCTGTTTCCTGGGGGAAAAGAGTAGTTTCTCTCCCCCATCCTACTTCTGGCAGCAGTGTCACCAACGTGGCACAAAGCTGGGCCTTTCTCTTTTGTTATCATCTCTTTGTTATCATTTTGTTATCATCTGTCCATCAGCATGTGGAGAAAAGGGAGGACAAAACCAGACTTACATTCTCTTCCCTACTTTTTTCCCAAATCTCTTCCCTACTTTTCCCCCAAATTTTGCTGTGCCAAATTTTTTAAAACTTGTGAACAGAAGTTTGTTAATTTTACTAGTCAAAATCTTGTTCTTGTAAACTATTTGCTTTTTTAGCTTTAGCAAGGGGGAGAGATGGCAATCTCTTAATGGTATCCACCCCTACTGAGCTCACTCCTTTTTCTTTTAAAAAATAAAAATAATGAAATGTAAACCATTCAAGTCCCTTCACCCCAGCTTTTAAGCTTCATTGCATTACACCCAATTCATTAACTACTACAAGCAGTTGCTGCACCCTAGTCCTCCATGGGCCAAGAAACTTTCAGAAGCATTAAAATAAAAATTTAAGTCTGTCACTTCTCACCAAGTAGATAGTTGATTGTTTGTCCCTCGTTTTTGGTGTTGTTTTTTTTTTTTTTAATTTATTCCATAATTATGTTTGTGCTTTGTTTTGTAAATGGTAATATTTACAAAATTTTATTTTGTTTAAAAGAAAAAGACTTTAATTCAATCTTTTAAGAACTGTTCCAGTTTTCGTTTATTGAGGGGATGGGGCAGTTCCACTTAATTGTTTTCAAATATTTAGGCATTCTTTGAGTTATGAAATTGTGATGCAGGGATTTGTGATTGAGACATTCACACGTGAAAGATGATTTCATTAGTTACCCACTTAAGCAGAATAAAGTGTGTATATGTACATAAAATGTAAGTAATCTAAACTTCATTGTGCAGTGCCTTTTAGATGTTCTACTTTCTATAAAGTCCTTCAAATTTTTGCATATATATATTATATATATATATGATGTAATGTTATAGAAATATATGTATAATATACATATTTTTTCCAGGGGTATCTGATAGCTCTGTATTTTGTTATGGAAGTTGAAAGAAAAAAGTATTTTACCTCAGAAATTAAAGTTAAATAAATTTTAAAAAATACTTTTAAGTAATGTTTGTTGAGTGTTGGGTTTGTTGCCATCAAAAAACAGCATACTATGAAAGTAATTGGTTATGCAAGACAACTTTCTAAGCCCATGCCTATTCTCTACACCCCATACTTTTTAATCCTTTTCACAGGTACCATCTGCAGAATGGTATGTCAGCAGTTTTGAAGTTCCTTGGGCCTTTGTCACATTCCAGGAAAGCCATAACAGAAAGCTAAAGCCAAGGGCATCAGTTGGGAAAACTTTTATTATAAAGCTGTTATGATGATTCATTCAGAGCATATGGCCAAGACAGACACAAAATATCACCTATTGTATCATTCCATTCATATGAAATACCTAAAGTAAGCAAATCCATTGACATTAAGTTAATGGTTGGGAGGAAGGAATGAGATAGCTTTTTAGAATGATGAGAATGTTCTGGAATTAGAAAGTAATGATGGTAGCACATCTTTGTGACTGTGGAGGATGCCATAGAGGAAAGAGCCTTGGCTCTTAATGGGAAGAAGCCTTCCCATTATCTCCTTGACAGCCCTTAATATAGCTGAAAAAAACATTCCATAATCTGGCCCCTGCTTACCTGCCCAGCCTCACCCTTACACACATACATACATCCATAAACCCTTAGAACAGTTACCATGTGCCAGGTGTGTTGAAGGGCTTATGTGTAACTTACTTGATCTTCATGACAATGAAGTAGATGCAGTGCTCCCTGTTTTACAGAGGGAAACACAGGACACTGTTGTGCTTTTCTGGCTTATCAGAGTTTGGCTGGTCTTTCCTCCAGTGCCTAGCCCATTGGTCTGAGCTTGAAAGATTCTGAGTAAATTGTTTATTGAATAAATGAATGTAAGCCCCTTGTCAGTTGGAACCAAGGAAGGAGGTGGCAGGTCTGGAATGTGAGTACCTGGTGAGGGGTTGTGGTGGGTTGCTACTGTGTATCGGGTCTTCCTGAACAAGCTTCTAGACCCGACAGTAGAGCTTCTTGAAGAAAGAGCTGAACCTTGGTGTGGGGACAGAGCCTTTTTTAGCACCAGCCCTCTCCCCTGGCAGACTGCCATTACAATACCCCTTCTCCTCTCCAGTCTCCTTCCTCTCTTTCTGCAGCTATTCTATCCTTCAAACCCTTTTAGGTTCACACAGGTAATGTTTGCTGAGTAATTACATAGAATGTGGACAAGAAGAAAATGAACTGAAATTCTCCCCTTAAGGGATTTTCATCTGGCATTGCATTTCCTAAGTCTTAAACCTCTAGATAGAACTCTAAGGCCCTGCTTGGGTTTCCAGATTCACTCACCTTCCCTGCTGTTTTTCGGTGCCCACAAGTCAACTCCAACTCTTTAGCAATCCAATGAACAATGGATCTGAACCTTACCGTGTCCTGTGCCAGACTTACCATCTCTGATATACTCAAGCCCATTGTTACAATCACTGTCAATTTATCTTAAGGGTTTTACTCTTGCTGACTGATTGTCTACCTTTCCTAGGTAGATGTCTTTCCAAGGACTGGTCCCTCCTTACAGCATGGCCAAACTACATGACACAAAGTTTAACCAATCTTGCCTCTGAGGAGCACCCTAATTGCACTTT